GCCGGGAGGACGGCGCAGCCAGATCTCCTCGTGTAGCCGGCCCTGGAGAAACGCAGTGGAGAAGTCGAGGGAGTGCAGCTCGTAGTCTCGCTGCGCTGCTATGTGGAGTAACACCCGAAGAGTAGTCATCTTCGGGGTCGGGGCGAAGGTCTGGAAGAAGTCAACTCCCTCACGCTGACTGAAGCCCCTAGCCACGTAGCGCGCCTTGAACACCGGCGGTGCTCCAGGCGGCCGCTTCACCTTGAAGAGCCACATGCCATCGACTACGTTCGCCCTGGGAGGGGGAACTGCGTCGACGTAGGTGCCTGTGGATCTCCAAGACGCCAACTCTGAGTCCATAGCCGCTTTCCACTGAGAGGCCCACGCCCCTGACACTACCTCGCGGTAAGTGCGAGGAGTCGGTATGTCAAGGGCGTCGGGGTCTCCCTCAGGGGAGAGCAGCATGGCACACACAGAGGGAGAAGCGGCTGCCCAGTACTCCAGCTCAGACTCTCTGTCCTCTAGGACGTCACAGCCAAGGGCAAACTCACCCCCGACGGACAGAGGACGGTAGGGAGGAGCTGGCACCACACGGGTGGCGTAGTCAAGGCAGCTGGCGGCAGCAAACTCAGCGACAGCGGCAGTAAGAGCAGAGACAGACGACGGAGGGAAACGAGAGTCGGTGACAAGAGTGGCGAGGACACGTGCGGCAACAGGACGAACAGTGCGGTAGTAGTCAGTGATAGGAGTGGGGAGGGCTGGGAGAGAGGACGGAGGAGGAAACGGGAGAACGGACACTGGAGAAGGAGAACGATGACGAGACGTACAAAGGAGGGCAGTGTGGAGGTCAGTAACAGGGGACGAGTGACGAGCACGCGGAGGACAACGAGTGATCAAGTCGTGACGGACCGAAGGAGGAGGAGACTGAGGAGGAGGAGAAGACCAGACCGCCGGACGCTCGTCAGGAGGAGGCAACGGAGGACCCAAAACAGGAGGAGACTGGGAGTGGACAGGAGGAGAGGAGGAAAAACCAAGGGCCCGCAGGCCACTCACAGGTGGGAACAACTGCCGCTCCAGAGGAAGCTGCGGTGGCGGCTGCGGCTGCTGCGGCTGCTTCTGCTGCGGCTGCTGCGGCTGCTGCTGCAGCTGCTGCTGCTGCTGCCACTGCTGCTCCAGAAGGTCCAGCACCCGCAGCTCCTGCCGCTCCCTCTCCAACCGCTCCTGCTCCTCACGCTCACGCCGACGGGCAGCCTGGAGACGCGTGTCGTGGCGGTGGGGAGGCGGAGTGGACTCCGCAGAACCAGGGTCTCCAGCTCCAGTCTCCTCAGACCCAGCACCCCCAGAACCAACACCTCCAGTGTCAGTGCCTCCAGAACCAGCACCTCCGACTCCTGCACCCCCAGAAGCAGCACCCCCAGTGCCATTACCTCCAGCTCCAGCACCCTGCGACCGAGCACCCCCAGACCGAGCACCTCCAGTGGCAGCCCCCCCAGCGCCAACACCCCCAGAGGCCGCAACCACCTGTCGCGGACGTGCCGAGGGCTGCTGAGGGGACTGGGAGGAGGACTGTGGGTAGGGAGACGCGACCTGACGTGCGACTGACGGCAGAGGGGTAGCGTGAGACACACCAGACGGGGCAGGACCAGGGGGGGGCGGTGGTACCGGAGGAGCGGGGACAGGAGGAGGAGAGGGGGCGAGGAACAGGGGGGGAGGGGGTACCGGGAGACCTCGACAGGGGTACCGGGTGTAGTAGGACACGGACTCGTCGAACCTGACGTCACGGGAGTCGAGGAACTGGTGGAGGGGCGGGTGGTAAAAGGACCAGTCAGCAGAGTCGACCGGGAAACCAAGGAAGACACAGTCGATGGCGCGTGCCGAGAGCTTGTCCGCAGAGGTGTCGCGGACTTGCGCAAGGCAGCCCCAGACTCGAAAGGCCGACCCAACACCAGGGGAACCAGTCCAAAGACTGGTCGGTGAAACCTCGGGCCGCGAGACACACGGCTGGAGGTTCAGCTGGTGTGCGGCGTAGCGAACCGCGTAGGGCCACAGAAAATGGGGCGCACGGGCATGGATCATGGACGTGCGGGCGATGTCCATGACCAAGCCAATGCGGCGCTCAGCAACCCCATTCTGCTGTGGGGACTCTGGCAGAGTCCAGGACTGTACAATACCCTGCTCGCCGCAGAATCCGCCGAGAATGCCGGAGCGAAACTCACCCCCACGGTCAGAGTGGAGACAACTGACTCGACGACCACGAGTGCCCTCAGTGGCTAGAAGCCACCTGATCAGCGTAGCAGTCACCTCGGACTTCTTCGCAAGAGGGAACACTGTGGTGTACCTGGAGTAGTCGTCGACGACCACCAGAAAGTAACGCTCCCTCCCAGACCCCTGCGTCGGGGCAGGGCCCCAGACGTCCAAGTGGAGAGTCTCGAAGGGAGCGGTGGCCGGACGAAGGGAGGAGGAGTGGGGAGTGGCGCGTAAGCGACCGGCGACGCACGGAGAGCAAGGAGGGGCAAGCGAGGGAGGGAGCGACGGGAAAGTGCGTGGGAGACCTGTGACAAGTCCCTAACTGAGCATGCCACGAAGGCGAGGGATCGACGGGTGGCCAAGGCGGTGGTGCCACAGGACGGTGCGGTGGGCGAGAGAGCGACAGGAGCAAGACGCAGCGACTGGACTGGACACAGCGACCGGACCGGACACAACTACCTGGCTCGACACAGCAACTGGACTGGGGACCTGGGCCGGAGGGGACGCAACGACCTGAGGGGAGGACGCGACCGGGGAGCGCTCGGTGTGGAGAACGTTGAGACCGGAGCGGGGCTCCCTGGTGAACGTGGCCAGAACAGCACCTGTGGTAGCGTCTGTACAGACTGCAGACCGCCCACCCCCCTCGAAGGTAACCGTGATCCCCCTGTCCTGGAGGTATCCAACACCCACCAAGTTCCGAGTGAACGAGGGGATGTGGAGGCCGCGCAGGACACCAGAGGGGACCACAGGGCACGGGAGGGTAGTGGAGCTACGCGCAACGGCTGGTCCAGAGGTAGGATCAGCCAGAGTCACTGACACAGGAGTGAGGAGTGGCGTAAGGGTCGTGTGGTCGCGGAAGAAGCACTGAGACGCAACCGAGTCCAGCGTGAACGACAAAGAGGCCTCAGCCGGAGGGTCACCTGACCCAGTCGCTACACAAGCACCTAGAGCAGCAACACAAGCACCTAAGCTAGACAGGCACAAGGCTACACTAGCAGGAGGCAAGCAGGCTAAACTACGAACACGCGAGCACAGAGATCCATTAGCACTAAAGTCAGCATCAACATACAAAGCATGCTGACGCGCATCGTCCATGGACAGATCAAAGACATCAATCTTACGGGCTAACAGACGAGACCGAGGCGTGACCGCCAGGGGGCCCCAACGAGCCCGGTAGAGGTCGTCGAGGCGGCGAAAGCACCGCGCGGCAGAGTGGTCGTCGCGACCACAGAGACAGGGGCTGCCCGGCCCGGTGAGGCACCAGTGGGTGCAGGGGCCAGCGTCACGGCGAGGGGGGCGAGGGGCCCAGCTGATAGAGCTGCTGCTGCGGCCGGTGCTCCCAGGGCCTCCCGGACCCCACTGCGGCGGGGGACCCCAGTGCTGCTGCGGACCCCACTGCAGCGGGGGCCCCCACTGCTGGAACTGCTGCGGTGCCTGCTGCTGCTGCTGCTGCTGTCCGTGCTGTGGCTGGTGCTGCTGTGGCTGCTGCTGCTGGGGGGCAACACCCCCACCGGTCGGGCCACCACCTGTGGGTGGACCTGTCTGTCCTGCACCTCCTCCAAGGCCCCCTCCCCCTGGTGCACCACCGCCGCCGCCGCCGCCGCTCCCACCTCCACCGCCCCCTCCACCGCCGCCTCCTCCGCCCCCACCTCCCCCCTTCCCGCCCTTCTTGCCACTCTTGCCCTGTTTCTGCCAGTCTGCAGCAGAAACGGCAGCGGTGTCCTCAGAGACCGACACAGCAGCAGAGGCGCGGGTAGTGGTGAAAGTGGGAAGCTGAGGGGCGGCACACCCCGCAAAGAGACGGGGGGCCACTGCATCAGTGGCAGAGGCAACGGTGAGGAGGCTGCTCTCGATGGTCCCGAGAGCAGTCTGAAGGAGGTCTATAGTGAGTTCAGTGGGGTGCTTCTGAAGAAGCGCGTCACGGGCAGTGGCAAGGCAGTCAGGGAGGCGGGTGACTAACCAGTGCACAGTGAGCCACATGGGGGGGGGGTCAACAAGGAGCTGTGCGTCGGTACAGGCCGAACGAAAACCGGCGTCAAGCGAGCGGAGGTGAGTGACTAGGTCGGAAACAGTCGCAAACGAGCCTAGGTCGGGAAACACGAACGGCATGAGGAGGCGACTGAGGGAGGCGGAGGAGGGGGTGGAATAGCGGGCAACAATAGCATCCCAAACCCCCTGTGCTGTCTCCACCTTGTCAAAGTGGGCGGCCTCAGTCGGGGGGAGAAGCTCCGACAGCGTGAGAGCGGCGGCAGCGTCACGAGAGAGCCACACGTCCCGTGCCAGGACCCGACGCTCGTAGTCCGCCTGGGCCGTAGGAGTCGGCTCCGAGGCGGTCGGGAGGGCGGCGGGGGACGGGGGGGGCTTGAGGGCACCAGACGCGTGGGCCCACAGAGTGGCGCCGTCCTGACGCTGGCTGGTAAGGAAACGCGTGGTCTGGCGCTGCCAGGTACCGAACTCTATCAGGCGTCCCTCCGCATCGAAACGAAGGCGACGGGACTCCATAACGGAGGCCATGCTAGAGGCGGCCGGAGCTCGGCGGAGGCGGAGCTAAGGACGAGGAGGGAAGCCTAGGAGCGCCAGGTGTGGCGCGGTGTGAGACCGGCGGAGCTAGAGGCTAGGAGCACGGAGGGACCTAGTCTAGGCGTGAAACGGCGGAACTCCAGCTACATGCACTAGGGGCGAGGAACTAGCAGGAACACGGGTCTACCCTAGGTGGCCGGCGAAAGAAAGCGGCTGCCAGCCGCTGAGGGCGAGACCAGTGGCAAAAGAGTTGTCTAGGGCCCCGCGCGCAGGGCGGTAGTGGGGTTCGGGCGCGTGCCAATCGCGGGTGGGAACGGGCTAACGCGGAGGCGCGAGCCTAGGTGAGGGCGAGGGCACGGTGGGCTCGGGGGGAGGGCGCACGACGTTAGGAGAGGGCGGGGAGGAGGGTGCGTGACGGTAGGAAGGGGTGGGGAAGAGGGCGCGACGGTGAGAAGGGGCGAGGATGGGAGGGCGACGCGACGGGCAGGGGAAAGGGAGGCGACGCGACGGGCAGGGGAAGGGGAGGCGAACGCGACGGGCAGGAGGAGGGGAGGCGACGCGACGGGCAGGGGAAGGGGAGGCGAACGCGACGGGCAGGAGGAGGGGAGGCGACGCGACGGGCAGGGGGAAGGGAGGCGACACAACGGGCAGGGGAAGGGGAGGCGAACGCGACGGGCAGGAGGAGGGGAGGCGACGCGACGGGCAGGGGGAAGGGAGGCGACGCGACGGGCAGGGGAAGGGGAGGCGAACGCGACAGGCAGGAGGAGGGGAGGCGACGCGACGGGCAGGGGGAGAGGAGGCGACGCGACGGGCAGGGGAAGGGGAGGGGGGGGGCGACGCGACGGGCAGGGGGGGGGCGCGACAGTGGGAGGGGCCGGGCTAGGCGTGCGTTGAGGGCGCGGAGGGCGCGGAGGGCACTAACGTGCGGAGGGCGCGGAGGGCACGAACGTGCGGAGGGCGCGGAGGGCACGGAGGGAACGAACGTGCGGAGGGCGCGGAGGGCACGGAGGGCACGGAGGGCGCTAAGGCGCGGAGGGCGCTAAGACGCGGAGGGCGCGTGGGCGCGGAGGGCGCTAGGGCTAGGCTAGGGCTAGGCTAGGGCTAAGGAACTCGAACCTACTATGATACCATCTGAAGAGTAGAATGCAACGGAATGAATGGAATTAGGGTTTGCAAGGGTACAAATAGGAATCCTACAAAAGCTATACTCTCTAGGGAGTACCTCACTGCAGCCTATCATAACATTAACATTTGACACGTGCGCACAGAAAAGTTCGGCGCCTGCGATGCCGGCTGTGTCTGCCGACAAATGCTAAGGAAGCGCATGGATCCCTATAGGCGTAGGCAAAAGCATCGAACGGTCTGAACGTTGTTGTATTTTCGGGTGGCCCATGTTCAAATACACCTACCGGAGCATTTCCAGCTTGGTTCTTGCGCACAGAAAAGTTCGGCGTCTGCGATGACGGCTGTGTCTACCGACAAATGTTAAGGAAGCGCATGGTGTTAGAAAGTAAGAACGAGAATGATTGACTAGCAGCAGGATGAGAGTACAAGTATGACAAACCTAAAGTTCTGTACCCCCTAGAGGCTAACCCACAATAGCCTACACAAATATAACACATACAATGTTTGACACACCCCCATAGGCTAAGTGGGGGAGAACAAGGGGTCACAGGACCAGTCAAAGCAAAGCAAAACAAGCTCAGGGTGGATCTCAAGGATACCACACAAATTCCGAGCACAAACAAGTGGTCACAAGACCAGTACACATGCAGTTTGATAATAGAACAAGAGGTACAGTGATCACAACCTAGCAAGTGCAAGTATGCAGGTATATATATAGAGATCACAGTACAAGCAGAGTCAAGAAGTGAGCAAGTGAGGGAGAGTAGGCACAAGGCCTAGAACAGTACAGAAACGCTGATGATCACAAGACTGAAGCGCCTTGGTGAACACATCAGCAGTGTTGGCCCGAGTGGCCACGTACGAAAGACGAAGCTGACCACGCTGCTGCAGCTCTCGAGCAAGGAAGTAGCGCAGAGCTATGTGCTTCGTTATGTGCTCCAGTCTGTGCTCCTGACACAAGGCAATCATGGCCTTGTTGTCGACGTACAGCACTGGAGGAGAACGAGGCACCTCTCCCAGGTCGGTCAACAGGTAGGTGAGCCAGCGTAACTCCTGTGCAGCCATGGCCCCGGCGTAGATCTCAGCCTCACAGCTGGAGCTGAGAACAGAAGAAGAGCGGGTAGACAGCCAAGAAACAGAGCCGGAGCCAAGGCTGAAGGTGTAACCCTGTGACGACCGCTGCGTAGTCAAGTCGTCAGCCCAAGAAGCGTCTGCGTGACCAGTGAGGACAACGTCGCCTCGCCCTCCAAGCACGAGCCCCATGCCCGACGTACTGCACAAGTAGCGCAACACCCTCTTAGCAGCATCCATGTGCTCCTTCCGGTGACGGCCAGGAGCGACATAGCGTGCTAGAATGCTAAGAGGGTAGGCTAGGTCAGGTCGAGTGCAGGTCATCAGGTACATGAGGCAGCCCACAAGCTCTGGATACGGGCCACTCGGCTCTACGGACTCATCCGAAGGCAGAGCTGAGAGCGAGTGACCGGTAGGCAGAGGAGTGGGCTGAGGCGAGGAGTACGTGAAGCGGAAGCGCTGAAGGACGTGCTGCACCATGTGTGACTGAGTCAAGGTGATGGTGCGCTGTGCTCTGTCCCGGGTGATCCGCAAGCCAAGATAGCTTGTCAGCTCACCCAGGTCTGTGCACGTGTGTCTCTTTTGCAGCTCCGACTTCACGTGGGCGAGTGCCTCAGTGTCAGCAGTAGCAAAGACCAAGTCGTCTACGTACACCAGAACGTAGAACGGCGGCAGAGTGGTGTCGGTGCGTAGAAACAGCGACGGGTCAGCAGTAGAAGGAGCAAACCCAAGAGCAGCAAGAGTAGTCCTCAGTGTGTCGTGCCACTCACGAGGTGCCTGGCGGAGACCGTAGACTGGCCGCCGGAGGCTCCACTGGGTACCAGGTGGGAACGACCCAGTGAAGCCAGGTGGGCGGCGCAGCCAGATCTCCTTGTGCAGGGTGCCCTGTAGGAACGCAGTGCTGAAGTCAAGGCAGTGGAGCTCGTAGTCACGCTGAGCAGCGACGTGCAGCAGAACCCGAAGAGTGGTCATCTTCGGGGTCAGGGAGAAGGTCTGGAAGAAGTCAACTCCCTCTCGCTGACTGAAGCCTCGTGCAACGTAACGCGCCTTGAAGACAGGCGGAGAACCCGGCGGCCGCTTCACCCTGAAAATCCACATGCCACTGACGATGTTCGCCCCAGGTGGGGAAACCTTGTCGACGTAGGTGCCTGTGGACTTCCAGGAAGCCATCTCTGCGTCCATGGCTGTCTGCCACTGAGAGGAGTAGAGACCCTCCATCGCCTCTGCGTAGGAGCGTGGGGTCGGGATGTCTGGTGCATCCGGGTCTCCCTCAGGGGCAATCAGCATGGACACGAGATGAGGTAAAGCAGCAGCAAAGCACTCAAACTCCTCCTGTCTGTCCTCAAGGACGTCCGTGCCAAGAGCACACTCACCCCCGACGGACGGAGGACAGACAGACTCAGACTCAGCAACAAGGCTAGCGGCGTAGTCTAGACGACAGGCGGCAGCAAAGTCAACAAGCTCAGCGACTAGAGCAGACGCAGCAGAGGACTCAAAGGTAGGGCCAGTGACAACAGTGGCAAGGAGACGCGCGACAGTAGGACTGGCAGCACGAGTAAGGTCTGACGGCGGGTCAGCAACGTCAGGAAGAGAGGACGCAGGAGGAGACGGCAAAGGGACGCGCTGTGGAGCAGTGGAAGGACGCAGGGTCATATAGTGAGTGCCAAGGACAGGAGGAGGACGCTCACGCGGAGCACGACGACCAGCGCGGACAGCCCGGACAGGCGACTCTGGACGCGACACAGGCGACTCTGGACTAGACTCAGGCGACGGAGGACGAGACTCAGGCTCACGACGCTCAGTAAGACTACCCGTCGGCGCAGTGTAAGGAGAAGGACCAGGCAGCGGAGAGGCAGGCTGTAACTGTGACTGTGACTGGACAGGCGGTGGACTCAGTAGGGGAGGAGTAGGACCAGTAGAGGGCGGGAGACCAAGAACCTGCTGAAGGAGCGGAACGTAGTACGGCCGCGGCCGCTCAGCAACTCCAGCTCCAACCCCCTCGGCAGCTCCAGTCCCAGCAGCTCCAGTACCTCCAGTACGAGCACCTCCAGGACCAGCGGCTCCAGCAGCTCCAGCACCAGCAGCACCTCGAGCAGCTCCAACACCGGCAGCACCTCCAGTAGCTCCAGCAGTACCAGCACCAGTAGCACCAGTACCAGCAGCACCTTCAGCAGCTCTAGCAGCACCAGCAGCACCGCCAGCAGCAGCAGCACCTCCAGCAGCTCCAGCAGCACCAGCACCAGTAGCACCTCCAGCAGCTCCAGCAGCACCAGCACCAGCAGCACCTCCAGCAGCGCCAGCAGTACCAGCACCTCCAGCAGCTCCAGCAGCACTAGCACCAGCAGCACCTCCAGCAGCAGCAGCACCTCCAGCAGCTCCAGCACCAGCATCAGCACCTCCAGCAGCTCCAGCACCAGCAGCAATACCAGCTCCAGGGTCCTCGACACTAGGAGCGCCACTCCTGAGACTGCAGCGACGAGCGTACCACTCTCGAAGCCGCTGGGGAGAGGGCAGCTCCCGCCTAGGAGGGGAAGCACGAGCACGAGCTCCAGCAGTACCTCTCCTGAGGCTGCAGTACTGTAAGTACCACTCACGCAGCTGCGGTGAGGAAAGAGCGCCTCCAGGTGAAGCACTCTCAGTCGCAGCACCCTCAGGCTCAGCACCCCCAGACTCAGCACCCCCAGACTCAGCACCCGCAGGCTCCGCACCCCCAGACTCAGCACCCGCAGGCTCCGCACCCCCAGACTCCGCAACTCCAGGCTCCGCACCCCCAGGCTCCGCACCCCCAGGCTCCGCACGCTCAGGCTCAGCACCCCGAGCAGGACGAGAGTCGACAGCTACCTCGACAGGCTCAACCGGGTCTACCTGGGACACACCTGAGGGAGCGGCACCCTGAGGGGGGAGGGGGTCTACCACAGCAGCACCTGGCGCGAGGAAGAGAGGCGGGGGAGGGAGCGGGGCAGTGCGGTAGGGGAAGAGGCGGTAGTAGGGCACCGACTCGTCAAAAGTGACGTCCTGAGAGGGCAGGACACGGCGCGAGGTGGCGTGGTAAAACTGCCAACCAGACGCGTCCGGGACAAAGCCAAGGAAGACACAAGGAACAGCGCGGGAGGAGAGCTTGTCCGCGGACGTATCGCGGACAAAAGCTCGAGATCCCCAGACCCGGAAACGCGACGCATCGCCAACCTCCCCCGTCCACAGCAGTGTGGGCGAGGTCTCCGGCAAGGAGACACGGGGCCAGAGGTTGAGCTGATGCGCAGCGTACCGGACCGCAAACGTCCACAGAAAGTGGGGGGCAGCCGCATGGATCAAGGAGGTACGAGCGACCTCCATGACCAAGCCAATGCGGCGCTCAGCAACCCCATTCTGCTGTGGAGAGGCCGGAAGCGTGAACGACTGGCGGATACAGTGCTCCGCACAGTAGGCCGCCAAGAGGTCGGAGGAGAACTCACCACCTCTGTCTGAGTGCAGACGCAGGACAGGAAAGTCCGAGTGGAACCGCTCGCTGAGCTGGAGACGAGAAGCGCGGATCCAAGGGATCAAAACATCAGGGACCTCACCCTTGGTGCGCAAGGGGAAGACCGTGGTGTAGCGCGAGTAGTCGTCAACAACGATCAGGAAGTACCTCTCCTGACCCTGTCCACGGACGCGGGCTGGGCCCCACACGTCCATGTGGAGCGTCTGCAAGGGAGCAGTCATCGGGGGAAACGAGGACGAGTGGGGAGCGGCGCGCTGCCGCCCCTCGACACAAGGAAGATAGGGAGGAGCAGGCGAGGGTGGGAGGGGAGGGAGTACCCGGGGAAGACCAGAGACAAGGTACCGTTTGTGCATGGCACGAAGGCGCTGCACTGGCGGGTGACCAAGGCGGTGGTGCCAGAGGACAGTCTCGTGCGCCAGAGAGCGACACGAGCAGGGGGCAGACAGCTGACCTGACGCAGACGCAGACGCAGCTACCTGAGGGGACTCAGTGGTCAGTGTGTACAGGTCCGACCCCGGCTGCCTAGTGAAGGTAGCCAGGTGACGGCCCGTCCGAGCACACGTGCAGTGTGTCACGCGCTCGTAGGCAGGGGTGAACTGGTGGACACCCCCATCCTGGAGCGCACAACCCGCCACCAAGTTCGTAGAGAACGAGGGGAGGTGGAGACCGGACAGTGTGCCCGACGGAACCGCAGGACAAGGAAGGACAGTGGAGGAGGTCGCAATGACCGGACCCCCAGAGGGGTCAGCAAGGGAGACAGCAACTGGCCGGGCAAGCTGCTCAAGGGCAGTGCGGTCACGAAAGAAACAGCGAGAAGCTCCTGAGTCTAGAGTGAAGGTGTGCAGTGCCTCAGTGGACTCAGTACCAGGGGGCGCAGACTCACTAGCACCTAGAGCAGCAGCCTCACCAGCACCTGGGGCAGCAGACACGCGAGCACCTAGAGCAGTAGCCTCACCAGCACCTGGGGCAGCAGAAGCAAGCTCCTAGAGCGGCAGCCTCACTGGTCCGAATGCCCGGGTCGGGCGGAACACGCAGGTACTGATCACCCTCTCCACTAGTAGACAACACATACATGGCAGTGAGAATAGCATCAAAGTCAAGAGCATAGATATCAATGTTCTTCTTCATCAGGTCAGCCCAGCGGGGCAGCTCAGTGGCAGCAGGGAACTGAGTGCGCCAAGCGTCGTCAAGGCGGGAGAAGCAGCGCTGCGTGGTGTGCGCCCTCCCACACGTCTGGCCAGTGCGGTCACCAGTGCGGATGACGTACGTACAGCTAAGGCCACCCCCCCCCCCCCCCCCCCCGTGCTGAGAGTACCACTCACGAAGCTCCTGGGACGACGGAGTGTGCTGCTGGCTCTGGCCACCGCCAGCGCCTCCACGACCACCACCGCCGCCGCCACCACCTCGACCACCACCGCCTCTGCCGTCTCCGCGTCCACCACCTCCCCAACCACCGCCCCCACCCCGGCCACCTCCTCCGCTGCTGCCGCCTCCACCCCCACCGCTGCCACTAGCCCCTCCAGTCCCGCCACCACCCCCACCACCGCCACCGCCCCCACCACCACCTCCCCCGCCGTCACCTCCACCTCCCTTGCCCCCTTTGCCCTTGCCGCTGCGGCGCCAGCTCGGAGCGGACGCAGTCCCGACCTGCTCAGTACCAACTAGGTCGACAGCAGCAGCAGAGGCGACAGAGGGGAGAAGGGGGGAAGGGGAACACCCCTCGAAGAAAGGGGTGCGGGGGTCGCCACGAGAGGCAGCTACAGCGACTATGCTAGTCTCGGCTGCAAGCAGTTCCTTCTCGAGCAGGTCTATGGTGAGCTCAGTGGGGGAGCGAGCGAGGAAGTGGTCCCTGACCGCACGAAGAGAGTCAGGGAGACAGGTGACAAGGTGGTAGAGAGTGAGCCAGAGCGGGGGGGGGTGGGTGGCAAGAAACTCAGCGGGCATAGCGGCACGGAAGCGAGCCTCACTAGTGCGGAGGTGCGTGGTGAGGTCAGCGACTGTGGCGAAAGCGGACAGGTCTGGGAACAGGTAGGGGAGCGAGAGACGGCCTAGCGCAGCAGAGGCAGGTGAGGAGTAGCGTGCAACTACAGCAGTGTACAGTGCCTGCGCAGTTTTGTGCTGGCCAAAGTGCTCGCGCTCATCTACCGGCAGGGAGTTGCGAATAGCAAAGCGAGCGTGGGCGTCACGAGTCTGCCACTGTGAACGGGCAGTACTGTCAGCACTAGCAGCAGGGGCAGCAGCATTGCCTAGCGCGTGATCGTACAGTGAGATATCCTCCTTGGCAGTGAGCTGGAGGAATAGGTGCAGGTCATCGAGCCAGGTCTCAAACTTCAGTGGGCGGCCCTCAGCATCGAAAGCTAGGACAGAGGGGCTAGCCATAGTTGAAGTAGCAGCAGTAGCAGTAGCAGGAGTAACAGTAGCAACTGTAGCAGTAGTAGCAGTAGTAGTAGCTGGTGGGGCACAGTTGGGCGGCGCGACTCGGCCAGGGCGGCGCGGTTCGGTTCGGGCGGCGCGGCTCGGTTCGGGCGGCGCGGCTCGGTTCGGGCGGCTTGGCTCGGTTCGGGCGGTTCGGCCTGGGCTACGTGGCGGGGCGCGACGGGGGGCGTGCGCGTGGGCGGCTGTAGCGGGCGGGCCGTGGCTGTGCGGGGGCCGTACTAGCGCGCCGGCGGCGGCCTAGTGGGGTGTCGCGGAGGCCTAAGGGCGGGCTGCGACCCTCTGGGCGGCGGGCAACGGGCGGCTAGGGGGCTGCTCGTGGGCGGCGACGGTCGCGCGGGCGGCTAGGGGTCGGCGCGCGCTAAAAAAACGGGCCGCGCGGGCGGCTAGGGGTCGGCGCGCGCTCAAAAAACGGGCCGCGCGCGGCACTAGCGAGCTGCGCACGGGCAGCAGGAGGACGAGAGGCGCACGAGGGCGCACTAGGAGAGAGGCGCTCGAGGGCGCTAATGAGATACGGCGCTCGAGGGCGCTTCTAGCGGAACGGTGGGCCCTATCGTTCGGTCCTAGGTTACGACCTAGGCTCGTAATACCATGTTAGAAAGTAAGAACGAGAATGATTGACTAGCAGCAGGATGAGAGTACAAGTATGACAAACCTAAAGTTCTGTACCCCCTAGAGGCTAACCCACAATAGCCTACACAAATATAACACATACAATGTTTGACACATGGATCTCTATAGGCGTAAAGAAAAGCATCGAACGGCCTGAACGTTGTTGCATATTCGGTGGCCCGTGTTCAAATATGCCCGTCTGAACATCAGACAAAACGTTTTTATTTATTTATATTTCAGACGGGCCTGAATCCTAGGAAGAGCCCTGGTTTGGGCGCAGGGACCCGCATTTGGAACAAGCCGTTTTATCCCAGTGATCTAGTGGTTGGGATTCTGACAACTCACGATCACCACTCATATGCGCACCACTGACTCTCATCAGACTCACACCACCCAACTCAATCTTGAACCCACCACCTATCACACCCGCCCACCACTCTCACACTAGGGCAATAGGTTATGTGGTGACAACGCAAGCCACATGGAGCAGTTTGTGATGTGAAGTGAAGGGATCAACTTGTTGTGACACCCTTTTGACATTGTCATTGCATGCAAATGTAATGTCTTACCTGTACCATACTAAAACTACTCTCAACAGCTTTCGAAACGAAATAAGTGGCTGAGCTTGTATCCCAGGAAAGCGGTACAAAGAAGAACCGTTAGGATTGATTCATGCAGTAATTGTTACACATTCAAAAATCGGGTACCGTATATCCAACAAGCGTATGGTTATGTCTGCCCATCAATCCGCTAGCATTCACTACTTAAGTCCATTGCAGGTGACGCTGCCACTGACGGCAATGCAGCGAACGCCCGCTGCTGCTGCTCCACCTGCTCTTGCTGCTCTTGCTGCTGCTGCTGCAACCTGTGCTCCTCCTCGGCTCGCTTTATACACGACGACAGCAGGCGAGACAAGGGCGCAGCAGTCACCCCATGCACCACCACTGACGCCACCACCACAAACAGCACCACGTGCGCTGCTGTCGCATCCCCCCCCAGCTCCTCACACGCCTGTGCCGCATACAGCACAGCCCCCACCCCAATCGGCCCAAAGAACCCCGCAAACCCGGCCTGACAATACACCGCTCGCTTGGACCCCACCTGCCGGTGCAGCTCCGGCAGGCAGGGAGCGAGCGCGAGCAGCACGGGCAGGCGCCGCAGCAGCAGGACGAGCGCGCTGAAGAGCAGCAGGCGGGGGATGCCGAGGGCACGCCAGGCGGCGAAGGGGAGGAATGCGCCGAAGTAGGTGAAGTAGGTGATGGTGACTATGATCTCTATGCCGTTGATCGCGTCGTACCGCCCCTCCTCTGCTGTGGGCTCCCGGCTGGAGAAGGCGATTGTTGCTACGAATACTGCCAGCACCCCGCTCGCACCTGCATGGTGTATCGTGCATGCACAGAGAGACGGTGAAGAAAGCGGAGGGGGGAAAGTTGGCAGATTGTGGCAAGGCATTGATTCTTTTAAATGAGCGGCCTAAAGTAGAGACCATACTAGCCTCCATAAGATGCCTCCCAGAAAAGCGCAAAGAATCAGAGTGACGCACCGACGGCCCGAACAAGCCCCAGGGCGCCGAGCGCAAGGCCGATGATGTGAGCGAGGAAGGACGGCTCGTCTATCAGCCCGTAGCGGTCGCCCAGCAGCAGCAGACCGCGCGCTACCAGCCCGTACAGCATGCCCGCTGCTATTGCCAAGCCCACCTGGGCAGGGCAGGGCAGGGCAGGGCAGGTCACAGGAGTGGGAGTGTTAGTAGGTGCAAGAGAATCGAAACAGAAGCGATGCAGCAGAGGTGAGCTTTGAGTTGAGTCAAAACAAGAATTTATATTCCTGAAAGCACACCTGGTAGGCGCAGGAGACGGCGAGCCAGTTGGTGAGCGCGAGCTTGAGAGTGGGCTGCAGCAGCAGTGCGATGGGAAGTGACACGTACGGCAGGGCCATGCCGTCGTTTGCCCCACTCTCCGCCTGCAACATGAAGCGTAGGGGCGCTGGCAGGTGCCTGGTTGGAGGGGAGGGGGGGGGAGAGGGGAGGGGAGGGGAGGGAGACAATGCGTGAGAGAGGTGCAGGGAGACGGAGGTTATGCAAGGGTTGGCAGAGAAAGGGGTGCCACGGTCGCTGCTTTGACGTGGGATTGCATGCACCCACCCCACCCCACCCCACCCCACCGTACCCACCCCACCCCACCCTACACTACCGTACCCCACCCCACCACACGCCCATGGCGGAGCACGCACATTTCAGCAAAGCGGCCCTGCAGAACGGTGGAGGCTAGCAGTGGATCAGTCAGCAACCAGGCACGTCTGCCGTGCCACACGCTACCCCATCCAACCAGCCTACCAGACCCCTACCCACCCCTGTGGACGCACATCTCAGCGAAGCGGCCCTGCAGGACGGTGGAGGCGAGCACTGGGTCCGTGGGCGTGAGGCACGCCGCCACGAGCAGGCACGTCTGCCACCCCACGCCCGCGTGCGGCAGCAGTGCGAGCGCGAGGGCGAAGGAGATGCCCAGCGTGGCGAGCATGGTGGGGGCCAGCAGCACGGCCAGCGTCCGCCACTGCCGCTCCACGTACTTGAGAGGCAGGCCCAGCCCCGCAGATACGAGCTGCACTGCCAACACCAAGCGGGAGAGCTGGGGGAGAGAGACGGAGGGGGGTTGGGTGGGATATGAGTGGGATGATGGCGGAAGCTGCTGCCATTCCGGCTGACGGAAGGGATCAAGGCATGGGGGAAGGGGAGCGAGCTGAGCACTCACCTCTTGCAGCACCGCTAGCGCCGTTTCTTCCCCCAAGGCGCCATGCGGGTCCAAGACGCGGATGCAGTGCGGCCCCAGCAGCACGCCCACCACCAGCGCCGCGAACGTCTCCGATATAAGCAGATCCTCTTTCAGCTTGCGCATCATGAAGGTGTAGGTCATGATCAGCACGCCTACGACGCCCACCGTTATATGCAGCCACGCCAGCGGCGGAATCAAATCCGCCATGTCCGGCCAATGGAAGATGTTAACGAGGATCGAGGAGGATAGTAACGGGGATGACGGCGGATTTGGCGGCACCGGCGGCAGGAGATTGGAGTGCGAGGGGTAAGAGATGTGATCGGAAGGGAGGGAGATGAGAAGAGGAGCGCGCGACTGCGTCATGGCCGCGTGCGGCGCACGTAGACGATTCGAGCGCGCTTATTGCTAGAGGGAGATAGGAATCGATCGCGCAAAGGGACAGGCGAAGAATGCGAGGAAAAAGGGCGCGAGGACTGAGGGGCGGGAGACAATGAGACGCAGGGGCAATCACACCCGCCCTGTTGTAATTGCAGCGCGAATGCGCCAGGGCCCTCATTCGAGCGAGCATGGCGGCAAGAGAAAGGCGATCGGGGCGCAGGTTGGATGATTAGAATGGTTGGCTGGGTGAGAAGAGAAAAAGAATTGAATGCGTACGTGGCGTTGTGCATGGTGCGTGCTGGAGGTGCGTCAAGTGAAAATGCGCCGCTCACGATTTTTAGGGGGGTCCAAATCTCAAATCTTTTACAAAACGTCCAGGGCTAACATCCTATATCGGGTATCTGGTAGCCTCGCTACACAAGCTCCAGCTTTCAGAACCCTTTTTGCAATAGGGAGCTGTATAGAGCCACCATATGATGCACTATGCAGAGAAGTCATCTCATAAGTATTCAGTAAGCAATACATACCCTACGAGAGAACAAGATGCCTCACTAAACAAAATGCATAAAGTGTTTTGCTCGTGTGGAAGAAGCCACAATATGCTTCAGGTACGGTACCTATATCGAGTCCTCGAGAAAACTGAGATGCAGAGGTGCTGCATCAATTGAGCTGATTCGTATTGAGAAAACGCATCACCAACCGCGTCGCAGCTAACGAGAGGCTGTCAGCCTATGTGATGCGTTCAGAAATGCGTTGAGGCTGCCTGCATGGGCCATGCGTTGAAGAATGCGGACTCGATGTCTTGGGTGCAAGTGGTGCTGCGTGAATGGTGAGAGCTGAGGAATGGGCGTGGAGTCACTTAAAGCCCCACACCTCCACCTGTGCCACCTCAAACTCCTCCGAGCTGGGAAGGCAGCACGGGGAGGCAAACAGAGACGAGGGAGAGCGGGGAGCCATGGGGAAGGGGGACATGGGGAAGGGGGACATGGGGAAGGGGGACATGGGGAAGGGGGACATGGGGAAGGGGGACATGGGGAAGGGGGACATGGGGAAGGGGGACATGGGGAAGGGGGACATGGGGAAGGGGGACATGGCAACGTTATGAAAACGCAAAGTATGGAAGTTTGAGGAGGTGTGAAGCATGGAAGACGGTGCAGCGTATGAGGACAGAGAAGGCTACATCTAAGAGGAAAATGCTGAAAGGAATATCAAGCTATGGCATGGCAAAGAGACCTGGCAAGGCATGGCATGGCATGGCATGGCAAGGCAGTACCTGGCAAGGATGGCGCTGCCAAAGGTGTCACACGGGGCACTGGCGCCTGTGAGGAGGTCAGCATACAGCAGCAGGCTGTGGTGGTTGCTGCACTCCATGCAGTGTGGGGCGTGGTGTTGTGGGGCACGGGGTGCATACGGGGAAAGGGTACAGTTGGGTAACGGGGCATGGAGTCAGGAAACAGGAGAATGCAGCGAAACATGCGAGTCAAACATAGCACCAGGTGCCAACGGCTTTCAAAGCAACCAGGTAAAACCGAATGCACCAGGAGAGTGCAGCACCATCTGCTATCTACCACCCACGAACTCTCCCCCACCTCTACCCCCCCCGTAACTCACCCGCCCCCCACGGCGAGCATGGCATTGCTGGAGAGCATGAAGTAGCTGTTGGTGCGCGCCCACCTGTACGCCACACACTCCGGCTGCACCTGTGAGCGGGGAAGAGGGCGGGAGTGGGGGGAGGGGGGGGGAAGAGAGAAAGAGTGAGGGGAGGGAGGAGGAGCGTGGGAGGGCACAGTGGAGCTGGCAGAGAATGATGGACGCGAATGCACTGCCACTTGAAGGAGAAGAGTAAAAGAGGGCAGACAGTTTGAGGAAGGTAGAACAGTATATGAGGAAAAAAACAACCAGGGGAGCAGCAGGGGGAGGAGGGGGTACCTGGAAGACGAAGCACTCCCCGTTGCCATAGTAGCGGTCCATGGGACGCCACTCCTCGTTGGTGAAACACCCAAACACCTGCTCTCATGCATGCATGCATGCATGCACATGCACATGCACACATGCACATGCACACATGCACATGCACACATGCACACAAGACATGAGGATGTCAGGAAGCGGTGCCAGAAAGGACAGAGACAGGTGTGGCAGCATGGGTTTGTAACTTTGGCATGGATTTGTGATTCAGGCACGAGTATGGTAGTCTGGAAATGGGGTTTGCAACTCGTGATGGGTTTGGTAGTTGGGGCATGATTTTGGTAATTCGGCTGAGCCATTGGGCGGTTGGGCACTCACGTATTTATTCGAGTCACGCACGACCAGCAGACACGAGCCCTTGCCCTTGATCTTCCGAAACAGTGTAGCCATGCTGCACCACCATGCACACGATAAAGGCACGAGACATGAGCCATGGAGGCGTGTGACAAAGACAGGCTGAAGGGCAGAAAGGAGGCGATAGCATTGAGTACGTGGAGAGGCATGGAGGGGGTGACGACATAGATGTTCATGACCAATGGACGGATGCATGGGGGTGTGAGGCCTCACTTGGTAGACACTGGTGAAATCACCTCAAGCGAACTATATCAACACCTTATGCCACCTGTTGCAGTCACCTGACCCCACCTGCTTGATCACCTGACGCCACCTGGATAATCACCTGATGCCATCCCTGGCCGTGGAGTAGAGCAATCTCCAGGGGGACGTGCGCAGGCGAGCAGGCAGCGTCACCGCCAGCTGAGATGTTGGGGGGTTGAGGGGTTGGGGCCAATGGTTGTGGAATAGGTTGTGTATGAGGTACGGAGGGGGCAAGGGCAGAGACAAGCAGAGCAGATGGAACGTGGGGATTGGGAAACGCTGTGACCAAGTGCAGTGCACTGCTTCACGTACCGCCATGAAGTTCTGTGGTGACAGCAGCAGCGACTCCCCTATTCTCTTGGGCAGGTAGTGCCCTCTGATCACTGCCGACCCCCACCGTATCGCACTCCCCTGCCCCTCCCCTTCCTGCCCCTCCTTCCCCGCACTCTCATCCCCTTTCCCCGCTCCCCGGTCGCTCTTCTGTGCTTCTAAGGGGAAGGACGGCTGGTAGCCCTTGTTCTCGGGCACTGTTCCTCCGTTCGCTACAATCACGGCCAGCGAGGCGTCCAGCAGCACGGCGGGGGAGAGCACCACCTGCTGCCACGTGGCGAGCTTCTGGTGCACCAGAGCCAGGCTGCGCTGAAGGAGAGGGGGGACGGCGGGAGTGGGGGGACGGCGCGAGTGGGGGGGGGGGAAAGGGGGTGGGGGGCATGGTTGGGGGGACGGGGGCATGGTTGGAAATTGGGGGCATGGTTGGAAATTGGGGGCATGGTTGGAAATTGGGGGCATGGTTGGAAATTGGGGGCATGGTTGGGGGTGGGGGGAATGTTTGGGGGTGGGGGACTTGGTTGGGGCCGAACTTGCATGTTTCTGCGGGGCTGTGTGGAGGCAGCTCTCACGACACAGCCAAACATATCATCCTCTCCCTTAAACAATCCCTCCGTTTCCAGCCCCTCGCCTCATCCCCCCCAGACCTCGCTGCCATCCCTGGCGTCCACTATGCACCCCCCCATTCCCCTCCCCTCCGCGCGCCTCCCCTCTGTGCGCCTCCCCGCGCCCGTCTCACCCTGCGGCGTTGCAGGCGAACTGGAGGGACTGCGCTGGCGCGCTGGCGAGGGAGGGGTTGCGGAAGAGGATCTCCCACTTCTCCATGCGCGCCACCAGCGCCTCCAGCTCCCGCCGCGCCTCCTCCTCCTTGCGCGCCGCCTCCTCCTTCACCTGCCGCTCCTCCTCCTTGGCGCGCCTCGCCCTCTCCCGCTCGTCTAACACTTCCTCCTTTCTCTCCTCTACGCGACTCTCTTCGCTCGCTCCTTCCCCTTGTTTCGCTTCTGCCGCTTTCGTCTCCCCTTCCCCGCTTTCATCTGTAACGATCGTAACCTCCTCTGCTCCTTCTGTGCTTCTCGCTTCCGCCCCTCCTCTCGCTGCGTCCCCGCTTTCTGCCTCCCCGACCTTCCCCTCCGCTGCTGCTTCCCCTCCTTCGCCCTCCGCTCCCCCGCTTACAGTACCATTCTCCTTCCCTGATTCCCCTTCCCCCTCCCCTTCCCCCTTCTCCGCAGCTCCCCCTTCCGGTTTCGGCGCGCCCGGAATGGGCAAACCCGTCGGTTTGTGTTCCTTCACCCACTGCCACGTGGCAGTCAGTGACTCGCCGATGGCGGCTGCGAGCGACGCCTGCAGCTTCGGCCAATTCTCCTCGAGCTTGTCTTTAATCGCCACCGCGTTGCCTCGAATCTTTGCTGACGTGGACGCGATGTACGAGCGCGCGGAGGCATCGGGCTCGGAGAAGGCTTTGATTCGTCGCATGCCGACGAAGTGGCTGTAGGAGAAGGCGCAGCTGCGGATGCCGAAATCGAGCATGAAGGGATTGTCGCCCAGCGTTGCCTCCAGCTGATTTCGCGTCGCAGGGGAGGTGCGACGACGACAAGGGTCGCAGAAGGGAGTCGAGAGAAAACCACATAAATTTATGAGGAATGACGAGGGAGTTTAAATGACTGGGAACGGAATGGGAACGGAACGCGAGGGAATGCCAAGGCGAGTATCCGATGCGATTCGATGCGCCGGCAAGCGGCGGATGCGCACACGGAGGCGAGCAAGCACCGGAGCAGAGCGGCGTACCAGATCCCGCCCGACCGGCACGATGAGTCGCGGCGGCGAGTCGTCATCGTCGTCGCCCTCCTCCTTGTTGCTCGCGTCTCGCGGCAGCGGCTGTTGCTTCAGCTCCGGATACTTGGCCTCCAGTTCCCGTCGCTCGCGGTCGCCCACGATCGTCAGCATCATTCGCACGCGCTCCACTTCCTCCGCGCTCAGCACTCTCTCTCCTCCGGGCTTCGCCTCCATTTCGTCGTCCGACTTGTCGTCGAAATCGCTCGCCTCCGTCGGCTGCTTCTCCGTCGTCAGCTGCGACGTCGCCTGCGAGTCGCCGTCGCCGTCGCCGTCGTCGTCGTCCGTCGCAGACGCGCCTTGCCCGTCGACCTTATCCGACAGCGATATCGTCTCCATATGAAACTCTTCGTTCGCGCCGGCACTACCCGTCGCGCTGGGCTGTGCTGTCACGGTCTCAGTCGATTCATCCATGGCTGCACCCAGTTCGATGCGAGCAAGCCCGTGAATGATCTGTTCTCTCAAATCCACCGCCCGAGGCAAAATGCGGAGATGTTACGGACTGGAGGAGCTACTGGTTTTGACGCGCTGTTGAGCTCGTCACTGAGCGCTGCGTGTCGTAAACTGATGGGTGACTCGAGAAATTCCAGTTTATGACTGGAACGCCATTTCCATCCGTAGACTGGTTGAGATTCTTGAAAATGCCTTCCCTGGGAGTGCCTCCTTGAAATTGCCGAAAACGGTCGCCCAATGATCCATCATCCATCCATCCATCCCGCCTTTGGGATTTGTTTGCGGATTGTCGTCGCCTGCTGCTGAGTGAGTGCGGAGATTCGCATCACGCGCGCGCGGGAAGAACCTCTCTCCCGCTACACGCGGAAGGGTGGCGGAACTGGAGGGGGTGAGTTGAGGGGTGGGGGAAACCCGTGCGGTGCCTGTCGGTGCTCTGTTTGGTGCTGACACCATAAACACCGCCGCAATATCGAATGTGCTGAAATAGGGGAAACCGAAACTGTAAAATAGATTTACGGATGTATCAGAACTCGGTTTCACTTGGCCATTTCCGGAGTTCCATCTACGGAAAATCTCAGCTTAGCACATAACGAATTTCTTTGTGTATTACGAAATTGAAACAGTCCCCTGCCAATTCCAAAGGCGCCAAGTGACCGTATTGCTTCAGTCTGACACCATCCATCCAGGCATCCCTGCATCAGAATGTCTCTCTCCCTCAATCTCGTTCCGCAACAACACCCTCACCGCTAGCATGGTGGTTAGTGTCTCACGGTCGACCGCGATCCATGGCACGCGACGCATTGACTGAATGAGAGGAATGCGAAGATCGTTCGGTCTGTTATATTTGCCAACGATTTCATGGAGTCGCCGAGCTTGTCGCCTCGCTGGCGCGTCATCAGTCGCGCCAAGTCCCTCATATCGTCCCTCCGCCGTGTCGCGTCGAATCTAACGTTCAGCTGGGTGAATCCCCTGGTCGCGCTTGGCGCTCGACGCCAGTTGTCGCCCGGAGATTTGCTGCCTCTGCCTGCTGACGTGGAGCCACGTGTGTGCGGTCAGCTCCTTTGGACGAAATGGGAGGAGGAACGAGCAGCAGGCGACGACGACTCATTTAGCAAATCACGCAGCGACGGACCGACGAATGGCGTGTGGGGGGAAACGTCTCAGTCCGACGGAGATTCGCTCATGGGTGGGCCATCGTCGCGTGAACGGCTCAGGCGCAGCGCGCAGCGAGGCGCGCCGTCGCTGCTGCGATGCATGGTGGCCATTTTCGGCGCGGAGTACCTCATGATCGGCGGCATCAAGGTGCGGATCCGTGGATTTGTGGTGGTAAGCGGCGCACTAGAGTGGTAAGACGTGGAAACACAAGGATGGCATAGTGGAGTGAACGCAAGGCACACGGGCGCGGAGTAGCTGATGATCGGGGGGATGAATGTGAGGAAAGCACGTGGGAGTGAGGCTGTAAGCGCCAGATCAGGGTGGTAAGACATGGAGAATGTACAATGAATGGCCACGCGTCACGATTACAAAGTGGTTAAAAAAACAAGGCAAACGAGCAGTCATCCTGTTACCCTGCGCTGTCTGTTTCCTAACCCCATGCTCCTCCTCCCCCCCTGCCCTCCCCCACCTTCTCATCCATCCCCCACCCGCCTCGCTCCCTCACCGCCATCCCCCTCGCCCGCATTCATCAGCTGGTGAACGATGCGCTGGCCTTCGCGGGGCCGCTGCTGCTGCACCAGCTCGTCACCGTGCTCGATGGTGGCACCCCTGCCCTCACCCTGCACCGCCAGCTCCCGCCCTCCGCCACACACGGTACTCACAATCCTCATCGTTTTCAAGATCCTTGTGTGTTCTTCCCTGTGCCCGCCTCCCCTGATTGCCGCTCGCTCCACCCCCCATCTCCTCCCCACCACCCACCTCTCGTCCGCATGATAGCCCTCATATGCATGTGCACCCTGCCAGCCGCCCACACAGTGCAGTGCACTGCCTCCTGCCTGCCTCTTCCCTCCATGCGCCCACCCACCCTCCGTGCTGCCAGGGCCTGCCACGCCCCCCACGCAGTGGTCGTATGGCCTTGCATGCGCGCTCGCCATCGGTGCCACCTCCGCGCTCAGGTGAGCAATGGGCCATCGCAAGCTTTCCTTTGCCCGCTGCACCATCCATCGCCCATCCCAGACGCTTCTCCGTGCCTGCCTGTGCCTAGGGATGGGCAATGGGCTGTGGCAAAGAATGGTGGATTCTTAGGGTGAGTCATCGGCGAGTGGCTTCGTTGGCGTGTTGCTGCGTCTTTGCAGAGGTGCAACTCGCGTTCATTCTCTAACTGTCTCAACCACCTCTTGCTCCTTCCCATCCATCGCACCACCCACATCCCTCATCCCTCATCCCTCGTCCCACATCCCTCATCCCTGACGCCCCATGCCTCATGCGTCACCCTCAGAGCCTTCCTAGGAGCGCACTACTCGTACTGCCTGGCGCGCATGGGGCTTAAGCTGCGTGCTGCCATCGCCACCTGCGTATTCGCCAAGGTACCCCCCCCCCCCTTCCTTCTATCCAGCGCTTCTTTCTTCATTCTATGACCACCACTCGTGCCGTGTGTAACTCGTTCCACATGTCATGAAAGCCCACTCTCCCCCGAGTTCGCAATGTGCTGTGGTTGCTGCTGGTGCTTCTCGTTTCCCCAAACTTCGTCGCAGGTCCTGTGATGTGACTGATGTTAACTGAGTCCACTTAGAAGTGGGTGCCACTCATTGCATTGTCCTCCGCCGCCGCCTCTCCCTCTCCCAGGTGCTGGCAGTGAGTGCGGCACAGAGGGGGTCATTTGAGGGTGGCGAGGTGCAGACGCTCATGAGTGTGGACGCGGACAGGCTTGTCAACCTCGTCATGTCGCTGCACGACCTCTGGGGGTGAGTCAGTAATCTCTTGTGCTTTTCTTTACTTTATGCTCACTGACCGTAAAGAAGTCTGAGAGCGCTGGTTATTCAGCCTAACACAAATGAACAATAAAGGGCCTGGTCCGATTTCAGTGCCATCGTCCCTTATGGCTTCCCCCATTTCCTTTCGCCACGTGTCCCTTTCTCACAGTCTACCTCTGCAGATCCTTGTGGCGCTGCTGCTGCTCTACTGGCAGGTATGCTATGCACCACACCACACTCTGTGTGCCATGCCGGCATGCCACACTGCACATACATACTTACTAATACTTCCACTGCACCCGTTTCTCTTCCTCGTGCCACCACCAGTTCTCCTCTCCATGTCGGGCCAAGCCACCCTCTCACCATCCTTCACTGAACTTCCCACACCTCGTTCCCCCTCTCACTGCGCCCTCCTCCGCTGCCCATTCATCTCCCTGCAGGTGAGCTATGCCTTCCTGGCTGGCCTCGCTGTTGTGCTGCTGCTCATCCCAGGTGCTCGCGCCTTGAGATCTCTCTACTTTCCTTGTTGCTGCATGCACATGGCACGTGCTATTTCATGCCATGCCATGACATACCATGACATACATGCCATGCCACAAGCCACATGCCATGCACACAGGACATCATGTGCATGCCCTTCCACACCCTTGGTCGCCTGCTGCTCCATAAGTGCCTTCTTTTCCCTCTCGATTCGCCTGTACAGAGGAGGCCATGTGCCGTCCCAGGCTACATTTGACATGCGCCTTGTCTGCTTGCCTTTTGCCGTGTGTCATGTATATGGGCATTCTGCATGTGCATGCGTGGCATGTGCCATCTGCTGTGCCTTATGTCATGCGTCATGTATCATGCGCGTGTGCATGTGCTGCATGCTGTGCTGTGGTGAGTGCAGTGAACCGATGGCTGGCGGGGCGGATAGGAGAGGCGAGCAAGCAGATGATGGCGAGCAAGGATGCCAGGTGAGGGACAGTCAGAGAGAGACGGTCACAGATAGAGGGGGGCTGGGACTGCCATTGCTCAGCATGCAACCGTGAACCCTCACACTGCTCTTAATCTCTCTCCTGCCGCCACACCATGTGACACCGCACTCACCCTGCCACGTCAACCTGCCACGTCACTCTGCCACGTCATCAGGGTGCAGGCGATGCAGGAGCTGTTGGACCACGTGGCAGCAGTGCGTGCCATGGCCATGGAGGGCGCACTTCTCTCCCGCATCAACGCCGCTCGCCACCTCGAACTCTCCGCCCTTGCAGTGCGTGTGTGCTTGTGGGTGCCTGTGGGTTTAGGGTTGGTGGGGGAGGGCGGGGAAGGGTGGGGAGGGGTGGGGCAGGGCCGGGTGCTCCCACTACTCCCACTACCCTTTCCCAGACCCCCACCACTTGCATGCCTCAAGTGTGCAAGTACCTGCACGCTTGGGGCGTGCACTTCAAGCCGTCTCATACCTACCTACGCTGCACGCTCCTTACCCGTGTGCTCCCCCCCCCACCTTTTGCATCCCGCAGGTGCCCAAGTACCTGAATGCGTGGTGTGTGTACTTCTTGGCACCTTCTGAGGCAAATCAAAAGGTTGTTTTTTAGTCGAGCCAAAACTCACCCGCCTGCTCCCCCCCCCCCTTTTTGCTTGTCTCAGGTGCGCAAGTACCTGGACGCGTGGTGTGTGTACTTCTGGGCGTGCACGCCTGTGCTCTTCTCCCTCGCCACCTTCTCCTCGCTGCTCCTCCTTGGTCGCTCACTCAACGCCCCCGTGGTATGCCATCCACTCTCAACGCCCCCGTGGTATGCTTATTCTATTTGTTTCTCGTGTTGCTGGTTTCTGAGTCGACCAGAAAATTGCTTTAGCTCTCAACTAAACAATTTGAGTCAACTCAACAACGCCCTCCCTCCCTCCCTCGCTCACCCCTCACCCCACCCCACAGGTGTTCACGAGTCTAGCGCTCTTCAACGTGCTGCTGGGGCCGCTCAACTCCTTCCCCTGGGTCATCAACGGCATTGTCGAGGTAAGAATTGAGCTAAGGTACTTGTCTCTCGCTCTCATTGTCGCCATGCGTTTGCTCATGCGGTGCAGCTTATGAGCGGGCGGTGCAGCGTTGAGAACTGGAGGTTGCCTCGCCCACAAACATCACGAAGCCCCCATCATGCTCCCTCTGCTCAACTGCTCCTTCACTCTACCTTGGCCACCCTTGTTCTCACCTTGCCCGTGCGTCGGGGGTTCCTATACGGGGGTTTTGCCACAGCCCCACTCTCCGGGCTGCTTGATTGTGCAGCTCCAGTTCCCGAGCCGGAACTGCAGCTCCAGTTCCCGAGCCGGAACTGCAGCTCCAGTCCCACCCAAGCTGGGACTGCAGCTCCAGTCCCACCCCAGCTGGGACTGCAGCTCCAGTCCCACCAAAGCTGGGACTGCAGCTCCAGTCCCACCCCAGCTGGGACTGCAGCTCCAGTCCCTCCCAAGCTGGGACTGCAGCTCCAGTTCCCAAGCTGGGACTGCAGCTCCAGTTCCCAAGCCGGGACTGCAGCTCCAGTCCCACCCCAGCTGGGACTGCAGCTCTAGTCCCACCCAAGCTGGGACTGCAGCTCCAGTCCCACCCAAGCTGGGACTGCAGCTCCAGTCCCACCCAAGCTGGGACTGCAGCTCCAGTCCCACCCAAGCTGGGACTGCAGCTCCAGTCCCACCCAAGCTGGGACTGCAGCTCCAGTCCCACCCAAGCTGGAACTGTCGCTCCAGTCCCACCCAAGCCGGGACTGCAGCTCCAGTCCCACCCAAGCCGGGACTGCAGCTCCAGTCCCACCCAAGCCGGGACTGCAGCTCCAGTCCCACCCAAGCCGGGACTGCAGCTCCAGTCCCACCCCAGCTGGGACTGCAGCTCCAGCCCCACCCAAGCTGGGTCTGCAGCTCCAGTCCCACCCAAGCTGGAACTGCAGCTCCAGTCCCACCCAAGCCGGGACTGCAGCTCCAGTCCCACCCAAGCCGGGACTGCAGCTCCAGTCCCACCCCAGCTGGAACTGCAGCTCCAGTCCCACCCAAGCTGGGACTGCAGCTCCAGTCCCACCCAAGCTGGGACTGCAGCTCCAGTCCCGCCCCAGCTGGGACTGCAGCTCCAGTCCCGCCCCAGCTGGGACTGCAGCTCCAGTCCCACCCAAGCTGGGACTGCAGCTCCAGTCCCACCCCAGCTGGGACTGCAGCTCCAGTCCCACCCCAGCTGGGACTGCAGCTCCAGTTCCCAAGCTGGGACTGCAGCTCCAGTTCCCAAGCCGGGACTGCAGCTCCAGTCCCACCCCAGCTGGGACTGCAGCTCTAGTCCCACCCAAGCTGGGACTGCAGATCCAGTCCCGCCCCAGCTGGCACTGCAGCTCCAGTCCCATCCAAGCTGGGACTGCAGCTCCAGTCCCACCCAAGCTGGGACTGCAGCTCCCGTCCCACCCAAGCTGGGACTGCAGCTCCAGTCCCACCCAAGCTGGGACTGCAGCTCCAGTCCCACCCCAGCTGGGACTGCAGCTCCAGTCCCACCCCAGCTGGGACTGCAGCTCCAGTTCCCAAGCTGGGACTGCAGCTCCAGTTCCCAAGCCGGGACTGCAGCTCCAGTCCCACCCCAGCTGGGACTGCAGCTCCAGTTCCCAAGCCGGGACTGCAGCTCCAGTCCCACCCCAGCTGGGACTGCAGCTCTAGTCCCACCCAAGCTGGGACTGCAGCTCCAGTCCCACCCCAGCTGGGACTGCAGCTCCAGTCCCACCCCAGCTGGGACTGCAGCTCCAGTCCCACCCCAGCTGGGACTGCAGCTCCCGTCCCACCCAAGCTGGGACTGCAGCTCCCGTCCCACCCAAGCCGGGACTGCAGCTCCAGTCCCACCCAAGCCGGGACTGCAGCTCCAGTCCCACCCAAGCCGGGACTGCAGCTCCAGTCCCACCCAAGCCGGGACTGCACCTCCAGTCCCACCCAAGCTGGGACTGCAGCTCCAGTCCCACCCAAGCTGGGACTGCAGCTCCAGTCCCACCCAAGCTGGGACTGCAGCTCCAGTCCCACCCAAGCTGGGACTGCAGCTCCAGTCCCACCCAAGCTGGGACTGCAGCTCCAGTCCCACCCCAGCTGGGACTGCAGCTCCAGTCCCACCCAAGCTGGGACTGCAGCTCCAGTCCCACCCAAGCTGGGACTGCAGCTCCAGTCCCACCCAAGCTGGGACTGCAGCTCCAGTCCCACCCAAGCTGGAACTGCAGCTCCAGTCCCACCCAAGCCGGGACTGCAGCTCCAGTCCCACCCCAGCCGGGACTGCAGCTCCAGTCCCACCCCAGCTGGGACTGCAGCTCCAGTCCCACCCCAGCTGGGACTGCAGCTCCAGTCCCACCCAAGCTGGGACTGCAGCTCCAGTCCCACCCCAGCTGGGACTGCAGCTCCAGTCCCACTCAAGCTGGGACTGCAGCTCCAGTCCCACCCAAGCCGGGACTGCAGCTCCAGTCCCACCCCAGCTGGGACTGCAGCTCCAGTCCCACCCCAGCTGGGACTGCAGCTCCAGTCCCACCCAAGCCGGGACTGCAGCTCCAGTCCCACCCAAGCCGGGACTGCAGCTCCAGTCCCACCCAAGCCGGGACTGCAGCTCCAGTCCCACCCAAGCCGGGACTGCAGCTCCAGTCCCACCCAAGCCGGGACTGCAGCTCCAGTCCCACCCCAGCCGGGACTGCAGCTCCAGTCCCACCCCAGCTGGGACTGCAGCTCCAGTCCCACCCCAGCTGGGACTGCAGCTCCAGTCCCACCCAAGCTGGGACTGCAGCTCCAGTCCCACCCCAGCTGGGACTGCAGCTCCAGTCCCACCCCAGCTGGGACTGCAGCTCCAGTCCCACCCCAGCTGGGACTGCAGCTCCAGTCCCACCCCAGCTGGGACTGCAGCTCCAGTCCCACCCCAGCTGGGACTGCAGCTCCAGTCCCACCCAAGCTGAGACTGCAGATCCAGTCCCACCCCAGCTGGGACTGCAGCTCCAGTCCCACCCAAGCTGGGACTGCAGCTCCAGTCCCACCCAAGCTGGGACTGCAGCTCCAGTCCCACCCCAGCTGGGACTGCAGCTCGTGTCCCACCCCAGCTGGGACTGCAGCTCCAGTCCCACCCCAGCTGGGACTGCAGCTCCAGTCCCACCCCAGCTTGGACTGCAGCTCCAGTCCCACCCAAGCTGGGACTGCAGCTCCAGTCCCACCCAAGCTGGGACTGCAGCTCGTGTCCCACCCCAGCTGGGACTGCAGCTCCAGTCCCACCCCAGCTGGGACTGCAGCTCCAGTTCCCAAGCTGGGACTGCAGCTCCAGTTCCCAAGCCGGGACTGCAGCTCCAGTCCCACCCCAGCTGGGACTGCAGCTCTAGTCCCGCCCAAGCTGGGACTGCAGATCCAGTCCCGCCCCAGCTGGGACTGCAGCTCCAGTCCCATCCAAGCTGGGACTGCAGCTCCAGTCCCACCCAAGCTGGGACTGCAGCTCCCGTCCCACCCAAGCTGGGACTGCAGCTCTAGTCCCACCCAAGCTGGGACTGCAGCTCCAGTCCCACCCCAGCTGGGACTGCAGCTCCAGTCCCACCCCAGCTGGGACTGCAGCTCCAGTTCCCAAGCTGGGACTGCAGCTCCAGTTCCCAAGCCGGGACTGCAGCTCCAATCCCACCCCAGCTGGGACTGCAGCTCTAGTCCCACCCAAGCTGGGACTGCAGCTCCAGTCCCATCCCAGCTGGGACTGCAGCTCCAGTCCCACCCCAGCTGGGACTGCAGCTCCAGTCCCACCCCAGCTGGGACTGCAGCTCCCGTCCCACCCAAGCCGGGACTGCAGCTCCAGTCCCACACAAGCCGGGACTGCAGCTCCAGTCCCACCCAAGCCGGGACTGCAGCTCCAGTCCCACCCAAGCTGGGACTGCAGCTCCAGTCCCACCCAAGCTTGGACTGCAGCTCCAGTCCCACCCAAGCTGGGACTGCAGCTCCAGTCCCACCCAAGCTGGGACTGCAGCTCCAGTCCCACCCAAGCTGGGACTGCAGCTCCAGTCCCACCCCAGCTGGGACTGCAGCTCCAGTCCCACCCAAGCTGGGACTGCAGCTCCAGTCCCACCCAAGCTGGAACTGCAGCTCCAGTCCCACCCAAGCTGGGACTGCAGCTCCAGTCCCACCCAAGCTGGGACTGCAGCTCCAGTCCCACCCAAGCCGGGACTGCAGCTCCAGTCCCACCCAAGCCGGGACTGCAGCTCCAGTCCCACCCCAGCCGGGACTGCAGCTCCAGTCCCACCCCAGCTGGGACTGCAGCTCCAGTCCCACCCAAGCTGGGACTGCAGCTCCAGTCCCACCCAAGCTGGGACTGCAGCTCCAGTCCCACCCAAGCCGGGACTGCAGCTCCAGTCCCACCCAAGCTGGGACTGCAGCTCCAGTCCCACCCCAGCTGGGACTGCAGCTCGTGTCCCACCCCAGCTGGGACTGCAGCTCCAGTCCCACCCAAGCTGGGACTGCAGCTCCAGTCCCTCCCAAGCTGGGACTGCAGCTCCAGTTCCCAAGCTGGGACTGCAGCTCCAGTTTCCAAGCCGGGACTGCAGCTCCAGTCCCACCCCAGCTGGGACTGCAGCTCTAGTCCCACCCAAGCTGGGACTGCAGCTCCAGTCCCACCCAAGCTGGGACTGCAGCTCCAGTCCCACCCAAGCTGGGACTGCAGCTCCAGTCCCACCCAAGCTGGGACTGCAGCTCCAGTCCCACCCAAGCCGGGACTGCAGCTCCAGTCCCACCCCAGCTGGGACTGCAGCTCCAGCCCCACCCAAGCTGGGTCTGCAGCTCCAGTCCCACCCAAGCTGGAACTGCAGCTCCAGTCCCACCCAAGCCGGGACTGCAGCTCCAGTCCCACCCAAGCCGGGACTGCAGCTCCAGTCCCACCCCAGCCGGGACTGCAGCTCCAGTCCCACCCAAGCTGGGACTGCAGCTCCAGTCCCACCCAAGCTGGGACTGCAGCTCCAGTCCCGCCCCAGCTGGGACTGCAGCTCCAGTCCCGCCCCAGCTGGGACTGCAGCTCCAGTCCCACCCAAGCTGGGACTGCAGCTCCAGTCCCACCCCAGCTGGGACTGCAGCTCCAGTCCCACCCCAGCTGGGACTGCAGCTCCAGTTCCCAAGCAGGGACTGCAGCTCCAGTTCCCAAGCCGGGACTGCAGCTCCAGTCCCACCCCAGCTGGGACTGCAGCTCTAGTCCCACCCAAGCTGGGACTGCAGATCCAGTCCCGCCCCAGCTGGCACTGCAGCTCCAGTCCCATCCAAGCTGGGACTGCAGCTCCAGTCCCACCCAAGCTGGGACTGCAGCTCCCGTCCCACCCAAGCTGGGACTGCAGCTCCAGTCCCACCCAAGCTGGGACTGCAGCTCCAGTCCCACCCCAGCTGGGACTGCAGCTCCAGTCCCACCCCAGCTGGGACTGCAGCTCCAGTTCCCAAGCTGGGACTGCAGCTCCAGTTCCCAAGCCGGGACTGCAGCTCCAGTCCCACCCCAGCTGGGACTGCAGCTCTAGTCCCACCCAAGCTGGGACTGCAGCTCCAGTCCCACCCCAGCTGGGACTGCAGCTCCAGTCCCACCCCAGCTGGGACTGCAGCTCCAGTCCCACCCCAGCTGGGACTGCAGCTCCTGTCCCACCCAAGCCGGGACTGCAGCTCCAGTCCCACACAAGCCGGGACTGCAGCTCCAGTCCCACCCAAGCCGGGACTGCAGCTCCAGTCCCACCCAAGCTGGGACTGCAGCTCCAGTCCCACCCAAGCTGGGACTGCAGCTCCAGTCCCACCCAAGCTGGGACTGCAGCTCCAGTCCCACCCAAGCTGGGACTGCAGCTCCAGTCCCACCCAAGCTGGGACTGCAGCTCCAGTCCCACCCAAGCTGGGACTGCAGCTCCAGTCCCACCCCAGCTGGGACTGCAGCTCCAGTCCCACCCAAGCTGGGACTGCAGCTCCAGTCCTGATAGAATTCAAGAGTATGATTAGTAATGAGCCAACAAGGCTCTATAATACAAGCATGCAAGGAAGAGAAGGTTGTAGGAGGAGCTAACCCTATTGGCCAATAAGTTGGCCAATGGGTGAGGTGCCTTGTGGAGTAGGCAACCTCACAATGTGGCTAGGTTGGGATTGGTTGGTCTAAGGACCAAAAGTTGGCAAGTGCCAACCAAGGGCCAAGACCAAATCCAATCTTGACCAACCACAAAGTGTGGTTGGAGTGTACACCCAACCCCCCAAGAACCTAAAAGACTACACCTATTCTAGCCTATGAATGTTGTATATAGTGTACAATTACAACACAACCCCCCAACATGCATAAGGCTAGAAGATGTAATCAGGAGGCCGTCACAACTGGAGGAGGGGTGAGGCCAAGGAGACGCAGAAAGAAGGAGTGAGGTGCTTGGGGAAGAGCTTTAGTGAAGATGTCAGCGAGGTTGGCCGCCGAGTCGATCTTGCCAAGGCGAAGGTGCCCGGCCTCAACGAGATCACGAATGAAGAAGTAGCGAAGTTCAATGTGTTTGGAACGCCCATGATACACAGCATCCTTAGTGAGGTGAATGGTGCTGGCATTGTCACACCAGATTGTGGGACAACGCTGGGGTGCACCAAGCTCATCGAGGAGGAAGGTGAGCCAGCGCGCCTCCTGCGCAGCCATGGTTGCAGCGTAGAGCTCTGCTTCGCAGGAGGAGAGGGCGACGGCAGAGGAGCGTGTGGACCGCCAGCTGATGAGACCGCTACCCAGAGAGAAGCCATATCCCTGAGAGGACCGCCTGTCCGGGCGAGAGTCAGCCCAGGAAGAATCACTGTAGCCATTGAGGAGGGGATGGGAGGGGCCGCCAAGGGTAAGGACATAGTCTTTTGTGCCACGAATGTAGCGAAGGACGCGCTTGGCGGCCTGCCAGTGTTCCTCTGTGTGCTTGCCAGCGCCAACGAAGCGAGCGAGGACGCTGATGGGGTAGGCAAGGTCAGGACGAGTGGAAACCATGGCATACATGAGAGAGCCGATGAGTTCAGGATAAGGATGGGAGGAGGCAGAGGGTGAGGAGGGTGGGGAGAGGTGGTGCCCAACTGAGAGTGGAGTGGGCTGGGGGCTGCCGCGCGCCATTTCAAACCGGTCCAAGACTTGCTGGAGATAGTGACCCTGAGAGAGGGAGATGGTGCGGGCGGAGCGGTCGCGAGTGATGGTCATGCCGAGGTAGTGCTGCAGCTCTCCCAAATCTTTGCACTTGAGCCGTGTGCCCAGCTCGGTCTTGACTTTCTCGAGCTCGGCAAGATCGGCGGTGAGGAGAATCATATCGTCAACATAGACGAGGATGTAGAAGGGGGAGGGGGAGGTGCGGAGGAAGAGGCTGGCGTCAGAGCGGGAGGTGTGGAAGGCGCGGATGACCGCAGGTGCCGCTGCTGGTGCCGCTGCTGGTGCCGCTGCTGGTGCCGCTGCTGGTGCCGCTGCTGGTGCTGGTGCGGATGCCGCTGCTGGTGCCGCTGCCGATGCCGCTGCTGCCGCTGCACTCGCCGCTGCTGGTGCCGCTGCTGGTGCCGCTGCGGTGGCTGCTGCTGGAGCTGCTGCTGCTGCTGCTGGAGAGGTGGTTGAGGGGGCTGGATGCAAGACAGCCTGGAAGAAGTAGTGAAGGAGGGGGGAAAGAGGAGGGAGGGTAGAGGTAGAGAGGGTAACAGGGGGCGGTGCATCAAGGATACTGTCACGTGACCTGGTGTGAGGATACCGGGTGAGTATGGCGCGGGGAGTGGGGGAGGGAGGTGAGGGTTGGGAGGGAGGGGGAGGAGGGGCACCAGGGGAGGAGTGAGCGGGGGAGACAGGGGAAGACAGGGGGTCCGGGTCAAAGATGTCACCAGACGAGGGGGGGGCACCGTGGGACTGGGAGGGCGGAGGGGGAGGGGGTGGGAGGATGGGGGGAGGAGGGAGGAGAGGGGGAGGGGTGGTGTCAGACCAGACAAGGGGACGAGTCAGAGGTGGGAGAGGGTCAGTGGACGGAGGAGAGGAATAGTACGGGGTGGATTCGTCAAAGACGACATCTCTGCTGCGAAATAGTCGACCGGAAGGGGGGTGGAGGAAAAGATAGTCGGGGGAAGAGGGGTTATGACCAAGGAAAATGCAAGGAAGGGTATGAGGGGCAAGCTTTCCCAGGGAACGGGATCGGTCAGACGGGTGAATGAGGACATATGCCTTTGAGCCCCAGACTCGAAGAGGGGAGACATCGGGTTTGGTCTTTGTCCATAGCTCAGTGGGGGTGGTGGAGGGGAGGAGGGGGTGAGGGTAAAGGTTAGTAAGGAGGGCGGCATGAAGGAGGGCATAGCCCCACAGAGAAGGGGGGCATGAGGCGTGGACAAGAAGACACCGAGCGGTTTTGGTGATCTCCCGAACACGGCTCTCAGCGACACCGTTCTGCTGTGGGGAGTGTGGGAGGGTGTAAGTCTGAAGAATGCCGCGGGATTGGCAATAGGAGGAGATTAGGTTGTTAAGGAACTCACCGCCACCATCAGAGTGAAGGCGGCGAACAGGGCGCCCAAAATGGGTGTTCGCTTGTTCGAGCCAGGCAATGATCGCAGGCGGGGCGTCCGCCTTCGTTCGAAGGAGAGAGACGGACGAGTACCGACTGTGATCATCGACGAGCACGAGAAGGTAGCGATGGCCCTGGCGAGTGGGAGAGGGATTAGGGCCCCAGAGGTCCATGTGAACAAGGTCAAGTGGCTGGGCAGCAGCGGAGGGGGAGCTCCGGTGCGGCTGCTGCCTGAGCTTGCTCTGAACACAGACGGCGCAAGGGGGGGCAGGGGATTTGGGTAGGGGAGGGAGGGAGGAGGGGAGACCGTGGAGGAGACCTGAGGAGACAGAGGAGCGCAGAGTAGCGAAGTTGGGGTGGCCTAGCCTGTGATGGAGAAGGATGGCAGGGTGAGAGAGGGAGCGACATGTGCAGGCAGAGTCAGGGGGGCGGGGGGGGACGGGTGGGTTAGTGGGAGGGAGGGGAGGAGGGGGGGGGAGGAGGGGAGGGGAGGCAACTTGGAAGGTGAGGGGGCGGGGAACCCGAAGGGTGTACAGACGGGAGCGGGGACAGTAGGGAATGCGAGAGAGGAAGCGACCTGTGGAGGTTTGGTAAAGGTCACAATGGTTAGCACCACCTGGGGTGACAGTGGTGATCATGGATTGTTGGAGGGACCTTTGGGAGAGGAGGTTGGTGCGAAGGGAGGGAATGTGAAGACCTGTGACAGTACCTGAGGGAAAGAGAGGACAGGGAAGGGTGGACGTGTGGTGACAGGGGATGGAAAAGCTGCTATCAGCGCCAAGGAGGGACGTGGGTGTGGGGAGAGGATGGAGTTTTCCGGCATCGCGAAAGACATTGTCAGTGGCTCCACTGTCCAAGACGAACTCAAGGGTGGAGGAGGGTGAGGCGGAGTACTGAATGGAAGTTTCATTAATAGCAGGGGCATACATAGGGGATGCAACGGAAGGAGGCTGACTAAGCAGACCAACAAAGCCAGAGGAGGGAAAGGGGGTCACACTGCCACCTGTAGACGGCGCAGGGGATGGACCGGAGAGGTGGGCCGCGGAGGCCACATTCCCGGCGGTCCAGCTGGGAAACGGCTGCTGCTGGGGGA